ACTCATCCCATGGCTCAAACCCAAAATCCCAGCTGTTTGCAGCTGCCTGCCAGGGTCTCAAATGCTTCTGACCAAGGCCTGGAACCTCTAAAAGTGTCTGAGGGACATTTCGAGTTCCAACAGGGATGAACCATACATTTTGGGGGTTGAGATGGAACACTCCATTTGACCTTTGGACCTATCTGTAGGCACGGGCATTGTTCCACCAGCAGAGGGGTTGTAGTGTTGTAAATCTTTTATTTATTTATCCATCCTCCCCAACACCGGGGCACGCCGTGGGGGCGCTGAGGCGTCTGATGGAATTCTCTGTGTCTCCCTGTGGCCTCCAGGTGCTCAGGCATGGCTGACCTGGACCACAACCTGAGCCTGGCGGACGCTCTGACGGAGCCGCCGCCCGCCGTGGAGGAGGAGGTGCAGCAGGACTTCATCGCCTCGCTGGAGGCCGACAAGTTCGACGACGTGGTGGGCGAGACCGTGGACAAGACGGACTACGTGCCCCTGCTGGATGACGAGGACGGTGCCACGCCCGGCAGCCAGGAGCCCAAAAGCAAAGGCCACCTGGATGGAATCGCCGTGGAACGTAAGTGTCCCAAAATCTGCCACCCAAACATCAGGGGACGCCTGTGCCGCCGCTGAGGTGGGACTTGGGCTGCTGGTCTGACACGCTTACTTCAACTTTTTGTCCCTCAGCTTGTGAAACAGCTTCTCCCTGCTGGACCTCTCCCTGCTTTCCATTCGTATTTGGGGTTGGGTGTTTTTGGGGTTCTCAGAGGAAGCCCTGACCAAATTCGGCGGTGCCGTGGTCCACAAGCAGTGTCCCAAAATAACAGAGCTGTGCAAGGTGCCACCAGTCTGGGGGATGGCAGATCCAAGCAAGAGAGGTGGGTGATGAGCTGTTGCTGGTGAGGCCAGCAGATGGGAATCTTCATCATCTCCCAGATATTTGCCAGCTAAATCCCACGGTTCTGACCCAAGGCTTTATTTACTTGGATTTCTTTTGGCTGTGCTGGTGGTGTGCATGGTACCAAAACATGCTGCTGTCTCTGCTGCTTCTGCTGAAAGCTTTTCAGCCCAGCTGATATTTAGAATCGTGGAATCATTAAGTTGGAAAAGATCTTGGACATCATCAAACGCAGCAGCTCCTTCAGCACTGCTGAGGCCACCACTGACCATGTCCCCAAGTGCCACATCCACATGGATGTCACATCCCTCCAGCAGTGGGGACTTCACCATGTCCTGGGCAGCTGTGCCAGGGCTGGAGAGCCTTTTCCAGAAGGAACATTCCCAAAATCCAACCTGACCTCCCTTGGCCCAGCCTGAGGCCGTTCCCTCTCCTCCTGTCCCTGTTCCCCAGGCTGTCCCCTCCTGGCAGGAGCTGTGCAGAGCCACAAGGTCCCCCCAGATCCCCCTTTTCTCCAGGCTGAGCCCTTCCCAGCTCCCTCAGGAATTCTCCACCTCCTTCCCAGCTCTGTTCCCTGCCCTGGACACACTCCAGCCCCTCTGGCTCTGTCCTGGACCTGGGGACCCCAGAACTGCCCCATGAGTTTGAGGTGGAACATCACCAATTTATTCATGTTAAAAGCTTTTTCGGAAACTCTGTAGGCAAAGGAGATTTTTGAACAGATGCTTCCCTGTGTGAAAGAGAAAAGAGTGAAATTTGGGGATCATGCAATGAGTTTCTTTCCCAGTGAGCAATTTAAATTATTGCTCCCTTTGCTTGTGTGCTGTCCCCTCCCTGCCCAAGTGGGAATTGTCACTGGGACCAGCAGTGCCTTGATGATTTTATTTATTCTGTGGCCTTGATCTGCACTGTGTAGAAGAGGAAAACCTTTGGTAACCTGATGAACTTCCTTCAGAAGAAGTTTTTTTTTTTTGCTTTAATCCTGCTGCTCATCAGTGTTGAGGAAGGTGAAATGTGATTCCTCAGAATAAACAGAACCTCCAGGACCACAGCACAGGGAATTCTGGTCTGTTCAAGGCATTTATTTGCTTTGTTTAGAAGTGCATTGGGTGCCTTGTAATACAGAAAATGTAACCTTGAATTTTCCATGCTGACACAGTTATTAAATGGCACCAGGGGAGCAGGAAGCATTGGAATGGGCAAAGGGATTATTATAAAACTTGGAATGTGTGTATTATTTATTTCATTTGTATTTTAGCATCACAGAAGCAGAGAAACACGAGGACTTGTTAACACCTTGTATATGATTTGAGGATATTTTAAAGCAATCCTTTGTTGTAGAAGCTGCAGATCCTAAACCAGGATTTCTCAGTGCTAAAATCATGACACAATATTGGTGTAAAATACAACTCCCTTACGTGTGTCCTGCCAGCTGTGCATCCCTGGACATTGCTATCCCAACTCATTATTCCACATAACTCCAGGATTTTGGGGTGGGGGTAACGAAGCCTTTGGGCTTTGCTCAGTAATTAAAACTCTGTGAGAGAAAGGCTGGGTCCTGTGGGCAGAGCTCAGACACAAATACAGAATTTCAGGAGGAATTCCTTCATGGAAAGGGTTATTAAACATTGGCAGGGGCTGCTCAGGGAGGTTTGGAGTGCCCATCCCTGGAGGTGTCCCAGGAAGGGCTGGAGGTGGCACTCAGAGCTCTGGGCACAAGGGACAAGGTGGGCACTGGCACAGCCTGGACTCAGTGGGCTGGGAAGGCTTTTCCAGCCTCAGGAATTCTGGGATTCTGGGATCTTCCCTTTTCCAACCTCAGGAATTCAGGGATTCTGGGATCTCCTGGCTTTTCCAGCCTCAGGAATTCAGGGATTCTGGGATCTTCCCTTTTCCAACCTCAGGAATTCAGGGATTCTGGGATCTCCCCTTTTCCAGCCTCAGGAATTCAGGGATTCTGGGATCTCCTGGCTTTTCCAACCTCAGGAATTCAGGGATTCTGGGATCTCCCCTTTTCCAGCCTCAGGAATTCAGGGATTCTGGGATCTCCTGGCTTTTCCAGCCTCAGGAATTCNTCCACAAGCAGTGTCCCAAAATAACAGAGCTGTGCAAGGTGCCACCAGTCTGGGGGATGGCAGATCCAAGCAAGAGAGGTGGGTGATGAGCTGTTGCTGGTGAGGCCAGCAGATGGGAATCTTCATCATCTCCCAGATATTTGCCAGCTAAATCCCACGGTTCTGACCCAAGGCTTTATTTACTTGGATTTCTTTTGGCTGTGCTGGTGGTGTGCATGGTACCAAAACATGCTGCTGTCTCTGCTGCTTCTGCTGAAAGCTTTTCAGCCCAGCTGATATTTAGAATCGTGGAATCATTAAGTTGGAAAAGATCTTGGACATCATCAAACGCAGCAGCTCCTTCAGCACTGCTGAGGCCACCACTGACCATGTCCCCAAGTGCCACATCCACATGGATGTCACATCCCTCCAGCAGTGGGGACTTCACCATGTCCTGGGCAGCTGTGCCAGGGCTGGAGAGCCTTTTCCAGAAGGAACATTCCCAAAATCCAACCTGACCTCCCTTGGCCCAGCCTGAGGCCGTTCCCTCTCCTCCTGTCCCTGTTCCCCAGGCTGTCCCCTCCTGGCAGGAGCTGTGCAGAGCCACAAGGTCCCCCCAGATCCCCCTTTTCTCCAGGCTGAGCCCTTCCCAGCTCCCTCAGGAATTCTCCACCTCCTTCCCAGCTCTGTTCCCTGCCCTGGACACACTCCAGCCCCTCTGGCTCTGTCCTGGACCTGGGGACCCCAGAACTGCCCCATGAGTTTGAGGTGGAACATCACCAATTTATTCATGTTAAAAGCTTTTTCGGAAACTCTGTAGGCAAAGGAGATTTTTGAACAGATGCTTCCCTGTGTGAAAGAGAAAAGAGTGAGATTTGGGGATCATGCAATGAGTTTCTTTCCCAGTGAGCAATTTAAATTATTGCTCCCTTTGCTTGTGTGCTGTCCCCTCCCTGCCCAAGTGGGAATTGTCACTGGGACCAGCAGTGCCTTGATGATTTTATTTATTCTGTGGCCTTGATCTGCACTGTGTAGAAGAGGAAAACCTTTGGTAACCTGATGAACTTCCTTCAGAAGAAGTTTTTTTTTTTTGCTTTAATCCTGCTGCTCATCAGTGTTGAGGAAGGTGAAATGTGATTCCTCAGAATAAACAGAACCTCCAGGACCACAGCACAGGGAATTCTGGTCTGTTCAAGGCATTTATTTGCTTTGTTTAGAAGTGCATTGGGTGCCTTGTAATACAGAAAATGTAACCTTGAATTTTCCATGCTGACACAGTTATTAAATGGCACCAGGGGAGCAGGAAGCATTGGAATGGGCAAAGGGATTATTATAAAACTTGGAATGTGTGTATTATTTATTTCATTTGTATTTTAGCATCACAGAAGCAGAGAAACACGAGGACTTGTTAACACCTTGTATATGATTTGAGGATATTTTAAAGCAATCCTTTGTTGTAGAAGCTGCAGATCCTAAACCAGGATTTCTCAGTGCTAAAATCATGACACAATATTGGTGTAAAATACAACTCCCTTACGTGTGTCCTGCCAGCTGTGCATCCCTGGACATTGCTATCCCAACTCATTATTCCACATAACTCCAGGATTTTGGGGTGGGGGTAACGAAGCCTTTGGGCTTTGCTCAGTAATTAAAACTCTGTGAGAGAAAGGCTGGGTCCTGTGGGCAGAGCTCAGACACAAATACAGAATTTCAGGAGGAATTCCTTCATGGAAAGGGTTATTAAACATTGGCAGGGGCTGCTCAGGGAGGTTTGGAGTGCCCATCCCTGGAGGTGTCCCAGGAAGGGCTGGAGGTGGCACTCAGAGCTCTGGGCACAAGGGACAAGGTGGGCACTGGCACAGCCTGGACTCAGTGGGCTGGGAAGGCTTTTCCAGCCTCAGGAATTCTGGGATTCTGGGATCTTCCCTTTTCCAACCTCAGGAATTCAGGGATTCTGGGATCTCCTGGCTTTTCCAGCCTCAGGAATTCAGGGATTCTGGGATCTTCCCTTTTCCAACCTCAGGAATTCAGGGATTCTGGGATCTCCCCTTTTCCAGCCTCAGGAATTCAGGGATTCTGGGATCTCCTGGCTTTTCCAACCTCAGGAATTCAGGGATTCTGGGATCTCCCCTTTTCCAGCCTCAGGAATTCAGGGATTCTGGGATCTCCCCTTTTCCAGCCTCAGTAATTCAGGGACTCTGGGATCTCCCCTTTTCCAGCCTCAGTAATTCAGGGATTCTGGGATCTCCTGGCTTTTCCAACCTCAGGAATTCAGGGATTCTGGGATCTCCTGGCTTTTCCAACCCCTCCTCTCCCCTCCATCATGGGGCTGCTTGAGCAGAACTCGTTTCCCTCCTGCGTGGCAAGGGGAGGGGGGGATGCAGTTTCTTACTCTTGCTTTGGAGATTGGTTTTTCCCTTTTTTGGGAGAGCTGGAGAGCAGTCAGGAGCATGATCTAAATCTTTGGCAAGATGCAAACGAGACCCTGTGTGAGGAGATGGAGAAGTTGCCCTGAGTGGAGCTGCTCAGCTTTCCCACCTTGGGCCAGCAGGGAAGGACTGAAGCTAAAACAGGATCTGTTACCACACACCAGATTTAGGATTTGGTCCTGGAATGTCTTCATTT